GCAGCATTTTCTTCACATGTCACTGGATAGAAATTGCTGTGCATTGTGGTTTAAGGAAGAGGTAGTTCAGAATTTCTGGGAATCACACAAACATTTCTGCTGGGTAATCATCATTAGGAGGAAATGTCTCCATTAACCCTCTTGTCTAAGCTTCACAGCTATGGGAATTTTCTCTCGGAGACGAATCCTATGCTCATCATAGTCCTGCAGTCACCTCCTCCTTCCCCTGCAAAGAGAAAGATTCTTTGCTGGAGCTGAGAAAAAAACAATGTTGGCCCAGGGTATGAAGCATCTGTCTGCTGGCCTAGAACAGGGAGTGTGATCGTGGTCATGCTGGCATCGTGGTTCAGCTGAGTGATAACTGAATGGAATCCAAAAAAAGAGTCAAGAAGAATGCTTTTGCTTTCTCCACTCCTCCCCAAATAATATTTCATGTGGCCCCCACCAAATTATACATAAAATAGCTTGTGCCTGTTGCTAGTTAGCTACTAAGGTTGGATCTACAAGCAACAATAACTTGCTCCTATTGTACTATTGCAGTTGGACTGTTGCCATATTCCCCCCATGGGTTTTCTACAGATCTATATTTCAAAGTTATGGCACTCACAAAACTCTGCTGTGTGAGTTCAGACAAGCTAAAAAAAAAATTAGTCATGTTTCCTCTATTCCTGCTGCTTTACTAGGCTTCCTATTTGCAATCAAATTATTTTTAATTTTGACCGTGGTCCTATTGTTTGCCAGGAAGATAATCATCTTATCTCGCTGCCGGGATATTTCTCTCTTTTCTCATGTAGTTTCAGATGGATTAAATAAATACCACTTACACAAAGCACACCAAGTTGGGCAAAAGGGCATTTCATGATCCCTGGTTGATGTGAAATGATGTGTCTCCTTTTTGGACAAAGTAAGAGATTGGAAGGACGTGGACGTGCCGTAAGGGCAGCTGTGCTGTTTTTGTGTGCTAGCAATATGCACACAGTTAATTGTCATTCATCTCAGAACCTTTATGGAAACACGTGGGTCAGTTTAAAAGTTAGTAAGTGACACTGACTTTGCCCACCAGTGCTGACCAAGGGCCACAGATGACAATTACCCGAGGTTTTGGTAAGGGAAAGGCCAAAAAATGTCTGAGTAGTCCTGTGGGAGCCTTCTGCTCCTTCTTCCTTGGTGAAACCTCTTTATCTCCATGCAGGGTACTGAGGACCCCCACCATGGCATCCGATAGGAAGGCTTTTCACAGAATCATCCAGGGATGCTTTCGTCCCCTTTCACGAGTCTGGAGGTCACAGCAGAGGCAGTTAGATGTGCAGCAGCCAGTTCACTGTGTTGTGGCTCCTGTTCTTGAGCTATTCTGAGGGAAGGATAGATGCCCAGCAAGGCAACATGGACAGCCTGCCAGCTCCAACCCAATGCAAGGATCAGGCACCTCTCAGATATTTGCAGTTTCTCCAGTAGCCCCATCTGTGGAGGAGCTGGGCAGTTAACACACAAACAACAATCACACAATGGAAAGCTGCGTGGACCGCTCGTAACCCAACTGTTCTGTTTTGTGTTTTATAACCTTCACCCACATACCCTTTCCTAGTGCTGGATGCTGAGTGGCTTACCTCCAGCTTCCTAATTATCGAGGCACTGCTGCTGGTATTTTACTGCAGATGAGGAAATGAGGACATATGGCTTGTGTGATAAGAGATTTATGTGAGCTGTCTGTACAGCGGTGCTGCAACTTTCTATACGAGTCCATTTATAAAACAAAACACGTGTAAACAGTCGGGTTTTGATTGTTTCTGTGATTTCTTCCCCCTCGTGACAGATGTAAAGGAAAAACTGTAAGTTTCCACTTGATGCATGCGGATAAGTTTATGGCTAATGGGATGGATCCCAACTGCAGTAAATCAGTCTCCACTTCCTCTGATCTCTGTCAGCTACAATCCAGCTCCGTGTGGGTAGATGGGAAGAAATACAAAGGAATTTGGGCTCCATGGCTGCTCATACTTTATTCACCAGTACGCCTGAAGGGTTCTTGCTGGAGCTTCTTTTGTCAAGAATACAAAATACTGTTTGAATTGGCAGCTAGAATCCCATGATTATAATAGGTGGCTTTGAGTATGCCCCTGTAGATGGGTTGGTTACCTTTAAAATCAGGAGAGAGGCTAAAGAAATAAGAAACTTTCTGGGAAGTTGAGATGGAAATGCAGGATGTCCCCTGTGATTTTTGGCTTTCCTTCAGTTTGAACCACAAATGCCACATGAATGATATTTCTTGTGCTCCTTTCCATAGTCTTCAGGCACCAGACAAGCATGTTTTCTGGGATAGTTCTGAGCTTACCTGAGAAAGTCTAAATTGTGTCTGTCTGCAGACAGGCAGTATAACTCACCAAGGCTTTCAGCCCCACATCTCTCAGCAGCATCACCTTGCAAATACAGGTTGGAGGACACAAATTTCAAGGTCCATACATACATTAAAAAGCATCACTGATAAATGCTTGCCTAATAACTGAAAGCAGATCCTCTTCACTTTCACTTTGTAATTTTTGGAGATGTTTATCCCTTTGTTTGGGCAGGGTAGGTGAGTCATGGAACAAAAACAGCATGGAATGTTGCATTCAGCCATGAAAGCACATGCAAAAACTACTAGGAAAAAAAAATCATCCATACAACTTAATCTCGCTGCAGTCACGCCCAGTTGGATGAATGAAGCATTAAAACCTGTGCCTTCTGGTTGATTTTCATTGCTGGCCACTGCATGCTGCTGTCACACTCAGCCTTCAGGGTTTGGTTTTCTTAACATCGTGTTTCTTATCATAATTCAGGGCTAGGCTGGCTGGGGCCCTGGACAACCTGATCTAGTGGAAGGAGTCCCTGCCCACAGCAGGGGTTGGAACTGGATGGGCTTTGTATGATTTGTAAACTCTCTTCTTTTGGTAGATAGACAAATGCAGCGCTGAAGCTTATGATCACAGTGAGGGCTGGGGGCTTTCCTTGTATCTGACCCCATCCTAGTGCAGTTCTCTCTCCTCCCCAGGATGAGACGTTGCAGTATTCCCATGTGGTTAACAGGCACGTGAAGTGTACCAAAGAGTGCAAAAGCTCTGCTCTTGGGTCTTAACACTCAGCCCTGTCCTCTAGTACGAGGCCCATGGATTTTATCTTCAAGTGCAAAACTCACCTTTTTCTCCTGAAGTACAGCTGCTGCTGCTATCACCTACCTTCTACACTGGGATGGAAGCTGGGAACATCCGTGCACCAAGTCTCTAAAGGAGTCCAAGGTCTGCTCTATAACCTGAAGGGATATAAACCCAAACTTTTGGGAGTGCTTGGACAGGGGGTGAAATTTATGGTGTGGGCAGGAGATGTCGGCTGCACTTTGTTGGAAACACTCTTGAGCCAGGGCAGAGAAACATGTCAAAACCCATTGAGTCACAGAGATTTCTTGTTGCGAGGGCTTTCCTATTGTAGATCCCAGCACCTGCCCTGCAGAGTGGATGGTTCTACCAGTCAGGGGGGATTTCATATAACAGGAGAGGTAAAAGAGGATGAGGAGGAGCTACTGTGGGATGCTGCAGCCTTGCAGCTTGCATCTGTGTGCTGAAATTGCATGCAGGTCCATGAGCGGCTCCAGCATCCTGCTGTGAAGCAGTACCCATTTTCTGAGCAAATTACTTTCTTTACACTGAGACGGCATCACTCCTTTACAGTTTGCAAACTAAGTATAGGAATGATTTCATCCACCTTCAATACACAGCCATCACTATGGGAGAGAAAGCTTGACAGATGTCTCACAGCACTCACCAGCCTTATATTACAGTTTAGGGCAGGAAGCAAGAAAGGATATTAAATCAAACAGAAAGCATGGGAGAACTTCAGGTTAGACAGAGCTTACTTAGTCACACAAGAATTGGGTCAGCACTGGGGGATATGCGTTCACATCCTGCAGCAACCTTAGCACAGCCCAAAATAGCAGCAGTTAGGTAAAAGCCAAGTCTCTTCCCCTTTTTTCTCCCCACTGCAAACACTAATGCTTACATCATGAAAGAAGGAACATAAAGTGAACAGCCCTGGGCAATGATTTGCAAACTTGTTGTTCTGCAGATGAACTTTCTGGATATCTCATTAGTACCCACTGGTGGCATTGAGCTTTTCTCTGAACATATTTTTGGGATAGTATAGTTCTTTATATCCTCCATATCACCCCACTATTTTTTACCAGCAACGAAGAATCAGAGCACACATTCATACATCTTCTGTGTGGCGTGGCTTTCATCTCACCAACTGCCATGGCTTGGGATAGCGTGCACCAAAAATTGTTTCCTAATGGCATTAGGGACACAGCTGTTCTGGAAGTAAAGGGAGAATTTGGCTGTATGGATATGAGGAACACCACGCCTGCTATCTTTAGGGACACAACATAGCTTCATGTCTTTTTTATCTCTGCATACAGAGCCACTACAACTGTCTGCAACACATTCATTGATGCTCTCCATTGTGCACTCTTTACCTTATATACTTCAACCTCATGTCCTGGAGCCGTGTGCCTGGTTCCCAAGGTAAACATTCCTGCTCCTCTCCACAAACATGCTGAGGGTTGCTAGACTGCATTTGCACCAGAACACATGGAAGTGCATGCAGAGCCACACACCTCCATTCGTTCTCCTGCCAGGCTTCATAAGTGCTTGCAGGAGCAACAAGAGGAGGCAGAATATAGGAGCAGGTCCTCAGCACACCCATCAGCAGAGAGCTTTTCCACGGAAAAAGGCTTTGCACACATGATGGTTGTTACGTTGTTTGGGAACACCCTAGAATTGAAATCACTGTAGCCGGATTCCTGGAGCATCAAACAAATTCAGAAGAGAGAAGCTGCTTGGAAGGAGTTTTCAGAAGTAACTGGCCAGGAGATATTAAAGGAGCTGCTTGTCCCTGAGTACCTTATATACTTCAACCTCATGTCCTGGAGCCGTGTGCCTGGTTCCCAAGGTAAACACACGTGATTTATTTCAGAAACACATCTGCAGCGCAAGAATTCATTGCACACATCCCTGAAGGGCAGGAGCCAAAACATTTCCAATGTGCCAAGTTACCGGATTGTTATTAAGCTGTCAGAGTTACAGGGAAGGTGCAGGGAAAGGCAACCTCCTTCCCCAGGCCAGGTGGCTTAGCATAGACTTAGGCTGCTTCCCAAAGTAATGAGGCAAGCGGGAGTCAGAGGTTCCTTCCAGCAACAGCTCGGTCCCCCTGGATGCCTCCCCGTAAGCTGCACAAATATTCTGCGGAGGGAGAGGGAAAAGAGTGAAACCTATTCAGTTACATCAAGCTCACGACTGGCCTAGTAAAATCATTTATGGAGTGAGGGAACCCGGAGCGCTTTGGGCTGGAGCCATCTGCTGTTATTTGGTACACAGAATCGGTTTCTATGGATTTTATTAATAGGTCACGCGATTGTGTGCGAGGATGTGAGATGTGAATCTCTCCAGAGGGGTCCCTGCCTGGGGCTCCTATTGCCTTCACAGGCAGCAGCTCCAGCTTTCTGGCAGCCCTGAAAGCCTCAAGGGGAATGGCTCTGCTGCTAGGATTCTGCCTGCATTTCTGCTTGCATGTCTCTCTCGCCACCAAAATTTCAAGCTGACTTTCTTCCTGTTCTTCTCTGCAGCACGTTTTCTCAATGTGGAAATAGGGAAATAATCAGAGAAGTGCTCCTGCTTCCTTTCTCCGCTGTCTGCAAAATTCTCTTTCTTTCTACCCAGTGGGATTCCTAGTGCAGACCTCAGGCCCCACTTGCACTGGCTTTGGAGTCCACGTTGTGTGCTGGCCCTTACGGTGTGAATTTTGTTTTTCAGCCACTTTGGCCTCCCCTCAGATGGATCCAAAGGGATGTGCTGCACCAAGGATGCTCAAGGCAGGCACTTGTGGGTCACCGCATCCCAGAAGCTGCTCCACCTCCCACAGGGGCTACCAAGGAAGCTCTGAGCTGCTCTGTGACAACAGGTGACATCCCAGAAACAACCGCGAGCCACCCCAAAACCCCACGCCGCAATAGGGCCCGGCCCTCCCTCATCCGCTAACGCGATCCCCAATCACCACAGAAGCCCTCAGCGGGGCCCCGCGTTATGGCGCCCCCCGGCGGGCTGGCGCTGCTCTCGGCGTCGCTCCTCACCGCTTCCCCATTGGCGGCGGCGGCTCCGCGCGTCATCGCTTCCTCCCGCTTTTGTGCACCGCCCCGCGTCCCGCTGCCGCCGCCGCTCCGGATCCCGCCGTGCCGCGTCCAGTCGAGCGTTGCCGAGCCGAGTCGCCGCGCATGGCCCCCCGCGGGTAGCCGCTCTCCGGACGGGTAAGGCTCTCCGGGCGCCTTTCCGCGGGCAGTGGGTGCGTGCAGCCGGGCTGCGGGCTCGGTTTTCTTTGGCTCTTTCATTTTTATGTTATTTTTTCCCCTCGGTGCCGATTTGGAGTTTCGCTTGTCTTCGTTGTTCTTTCCCCATCCGCTTTCCCCGAAGGTCAGCCCGCTTCTGAAAAAGCTGGCGGGTTGCGGGGTTCCGCTCCGCGGCTCGGGCTCCGTGCGGGGCCGATCGCTGCGGGACGGCCGCGTTACGGGCGCTCGTGTCGTCGGGATGCTCCCGACTCGTGCCAGACCCAGCGCTGGGTCTCTACCGTCCGTCTTGGCACCGCAAGCCACAGTACCAGAGAACCGTGCATACGATCGTTTTCTCGCCTGACGTGGCCGAATGCCGCTTGGGAAGTGGATTCCCCCTCTCCGGCTGCTTTTTGCCTCCTCCCCAATTCCCGTTGGCTTCTCTTAGCCTCTTGCACACCGACCCGCTGCGGGTTTGGCTGCACACAGAGAGCCCAAACCCTGAGCTCCATCCTTTGTGGCTGTGCTGGGGATGCTGAGGGTAGCCGGCTCGGATGGGGCCCTGGGCAACTTGATCTGCTGGGTGGCGACCAGCCCACAGCAGGGGCTCGGAGCTGTGAGACCCCTCAGAGGGGTCTTTGAAGTCCCTTCCCACCGAAACCGTTCTGTGATTCAGTGACTCTTTGTAGGTTGGGGTTTGTGCAGAGTTTGAGGGTTTCGGGAGTCAAACGGCAGTTCTGTGCTAGCTGAGGGTCTGCTGCCCATCCCTTACAATGGAAGGGCTTTGAGGTTTCTCCTGCTCTTTAGTGCTTTCCTCCCCAGCTCTGTGCCTCAGGAGAGTTTCCCGGCCCATAGAAGCTCCTCCGTTGCAAGCCAGGGCTGGATGGGCTGCCAGCCTGCTGGTGTGTGAGCATAGGTGCTCTTTTGCATCTTCCTTCCCTAAATGGTTTCTGGTGCTGCAGTTTTACCCATCGGTCTCATTGCAAAGAGATGCAGTCTGGCTTTTCATACAGAACAGAACCTGCAAGCTGATGGACAGAGCAGCATGGAAACTCTTCTCTTCCCTCCATCCCTTCCCAGACATTGCTATGGACTGGCGATGCATCCTGGTGTGAGCGTGCAGCTTGGACTTGCTTTGTTTTCTGAGTTTTGCTGTTTGGAAGGGCCCAATGGGGGTGGCAAGGATTGCACTGGTGCTGGCAGAGCTTGGTGCTGCGCGTCTGTCCCTCCTGTTGCGGAGCTGCTGCTGGAGGGAAGTGAGTCAGGGAGGTGAGAGGGTCATTAGCTGCAGTGGGAAAGGAATTAAAGACTTTCAATGACAGCTCATCTGCTCCGAGGAAATATGGTTTTTCTCTCTACAAATCTCTGCATTTCTGTGTATCTCCAGGTCCAGCTCAGGAAGGGGCTGCGTGTCCCTGGAGGCAGCAGAGCCCTCAGCTTCTGCAGTGGGCCGTGGGCTGCTGTCTGCCAGCTGCAGGCAACGTGTTCTGGGTTCGGTCCTTCCCACTCCCCTCTGCACATATCCCGGCCAAGTGCAGCGTGTGCAGCAATGTGCAGAATGTCAGCTGTGCACCGGGGAGATGGAAAATGCATTATAGAGCCATAAGAAGGGGAATATGGAATTTTATTCTTTTTTCCCACTTGGAGCCCTCAGGCGCTCCTCAGTCTTTGCAGAAGAGTTCTAAATGGCCCCACTGATCCCTAACCTGGCGGAATACCCTGAATCCCCAGACTGTATTTATTTTCCCATTTAAGCTCTGTGAGGCAAAGTGGGCGATGGGACGTTTTTCCAGGAACCCTTCCAGGAAAGCATCCGTGGCTCCGGCCAGGCTCTCTCTGTTCTCCCTCTGCTGCCTCCTTGGCTCTCTGCACATTCCTTCCAGGTGCTTTTTCTGCCTTTGGCAGGTGGGATGCAGGGATGCTCCATGTCATCTCGCTTGTGCCCGACTGTGCTGCCTTTGTGTGATGCGTGGGCACCGGGTTGGCATCTGCCATGCTGCTTTTCCGCAGGAGAGATGAGTTCCATCTGTGAAGGGATGTGTGAGCGCATATGCACGTGGTTGTGTTGGCATTTTGGTTTGTTTTCAGTCTGTCCTCACACTTCTGATCCAGTCTGGCCAAGTAGTCTTCTTCTTAGTCACTGAAATGGCAACCGGTGGCCAACCCGATCACTGTCCCATCTCATCTTTAATAACAGAAGAATAAAAAATAGAATCATAAAATCACTAAGGTTGGAAAAGATCTCAAAGTCCAGCCATCAGCCCACCCCTGCCATGCCCATTGACCATGTCCGTCAGTGCCACATGGTTCTGGAGCACCTCTGGGGGCGGTGACTCCACCACCTCTCTGGGCAGCTGTGCCACTGCATCACCACTCTTTCTGAGAAGAAATTATTCCTTATATCCGGCCTGAAATTGATGCCTTCTGCTCCAAAGCCACTGGGGAATGATTCCCTGCTGAAGATGGATTGCTCAGGAAAGCAGAATGAGAGTGACGAGCCTTCCCTGTGCCGCCGTGCCAGGAGCTGTGGTGTCCCATACTGGTGACATAGGAAGGAATTTGGTCCCTCAGTGCTGCAGCAGCTGGGGGGAAAGCATTTGGCCAGGCGGGCTGCAAGGGCTCGGGGTCGAGCCTTGTGTCTTTGTGGTTGGGGCAGGGTGTGCTGCTGGTGTTGGCTCCGGGTGTTCCCAGAGCACCAGGAGTACCCTGGAAGGCTGAGAATTGGATCTAGACTTGCTGAGGCTTGTAGGAGTCAGAGGTGGCAGGTGCATGTACCACCAAAAGAGGACGATTCAGCTCCAAAATGCATTCCCCAAACACTTTTTCCATGGAAGATCTTATATCTGTATTAGTGGAGACCAAGTGGCTCTGGGTCTCTCATAGAAACTGTCCTCTCCCAAGCTAAAACTCATTCTGGCTACTATTTAATCAGCAATTTTGGCAAAAACTGCCCTGGTTTTATGCTCCTCACTCTGCAAAATGATCTGGGCAGATGAACCAGCGCCGTACTGAAACCCAGGGAGGAGCTGAGCTGGAGCTTGGCCTGGTGCCGGAGGAGCAGCACAGGACAAAGTCCAGGCAGCGACGTGCATGGGCCAGGTCCTGGAAGGAGCTGCCCGCTGCGTGGGATGCTGTGCAAACAGTGTGTGCTGGCCAGGCCGTTGGGTGACCTGAACTCTCAGGTAGTGATTAAACACCACTCCTGCACTACTAGGGCTGTCCTGGAGCATTGGTGTTAATCTGGTCTGTTTAAAGGCTTTTTGTGATTCTGGAGCCTTGCGAGTGTCTGAAGATCCCTAGAGGACTTTGGAAGTTTTGCACATAACGAGGCTTGGCTGGGGAAAACAGCTTAGGGACAAGGTGCAGGGTGAAGTCTTGTAGCTGGTGGTCGAGGTGAATGGATTGGAATATGTGTGTGGACAGGAACTCTGTTTTAAGTGCTTTTTCCTTATTGGCCTCTAACCTGAGAGTGCCCTCAGGGGGACTGTCCCTTTTCTGCATGCTGGGTCATTGCAAAGGCCAACTGATAATGTTATCTGTGGGTGATGCTGGTGTGTTGACAGCTCAACTTGATGTCTGAAGAGATGATGCAGTCAGTGTGGAAATGGGTAGCTGGAAGGAGGTGTGGGCTGGGACCGTGCAGCAAAGCAGTCTAGCAGCTCTGTGAGTGATGATTGTGTGGTACTTGGAGGTGGGAGGTTTGGGGTTGCTTCTGCTGATGTGGATCAATCACAGAGTGGTTTGGGTTGGAGACCCAAAGACCATCCAGTTCCATCCATAGGCAGGAACCCACCAGACCAGGTTGCCTAATGTGCATCCCTCCGTACAGGCACCAGGCTGGGTTGAGCTCCTGGAAGGCTTTCATTGCTGGTACTGGGTGCGCTCACTGAAGCCTCAATGCCTTCTGTTTGCCTTTCAGCATGGAAACACAGTCCAATCCTGATTGTAGTCCTCGTGGCTCCCAGCTTGGCAAGCAGCTTTTGGGAAACCTGAGCACCCAGTTAATAAACTGATGGAATGCTTTTGCTGCTCCTTGGTCTTAATCCTTCCTTGCTGGTGTAACAGAGTAGCCAGAGTCATTAGAGAAACATGCAAAATATTTCAGTTATTTCTATTTGGATGTTGCTGGTGGCAAATAAGAGATAAATGGAGTCTGCATTGAGCTGTGCTTAGTTTGTTGCATCATTGGTTTTATTGGAGGGTTCAAGGTCCAGCTCTGAATTGCTGCTGTCTGGGTTCAGCCCAGCTTCAGGGTGCATTGGAGCTGTGTTGTGCCTAATGAAGGGGCGGGCAGATGGAGAAGCGAGGGGAAGGGCTGCATGTGTGTGCTTCTTTAAAATGCTGGGTTCTCATTCTCCATCACTGCCTTCCCCAATCTCCTGAGTGGCCGTGGTTGGATGGGTTTGCTTTGGTGTCTGTCCCATGAGCTGACTTGTAGTGCCTCAGAAGCTTCCCCACTAGCCATGGGCAGATGCCCATGTGTGACACCAGCACTTCTGGATGTGCTCCTGGATGCTGCCTTGAGTCCTGACTGGCTCTGATGGAAGGGCAGCTGTGTTGTTGTCTGCATACCGTAAGGGTGGCCTCTGTGTGCAGACCAGCTTGGCTTCATCTCTCTTGGCTGAAAGGACCTTGTAGG